AAAATCGGTGCAGTAGTTCTTGAATTATGGTGAAAAACCACAAAAAAACTAAATATTGCGACATCTGTCTCATCAAACTAAACAGAAACACTCCTCACGCCCCATAGAGCATGTACATACAATTTGGTCAAAATTTGTGCAGTAGTTTTTTTTTTTTTGTGTTTAGCGATCACGAACATACATGTAATTTTTATATATATAGAGTTTATATTTAATGAATGAAATGAAACCATATATCAACGATTTTGTTCAATATAATAAACATCATACTTTTAAGATTTGTTTGTAATGCCTAAAATTTAAACCTCCAAAACTTTTGTGTGAATGGATCAAATATTTAAATCGCGAAAGGGAAATGTTTGTAAACCGAAGTACCAATTTACTTCACGTTTTACAAATTTGTATTTGTTTACTGTGCCCGTATATTTGAACGTTTCTATCAAAAAATCATACTCAAAACTAAATAATGCTAGATGATAGGATTAAAAACTCAAGAAACAATAAGACTTCTAATGGAAGCTCAATTCCCACCGAGCACATTGAGAACTGATGATGCAACGATAATAAGGGAGAAAGGATTGGAGAACCCTAAAATTGACGAGTTAATGGTACGTGGTACGGTACGGTTGAAAAGATTCTCCCCATTCAATGCGGTAGGGTCAGACAACATCTTTCCAGCTTTATTACAAAAAGAGACGGACTGTTTATCACCAAGCTTAGCAGTACTTAACGCGTATATAAGGTTTGCGTACACTCCAGCCTCTTTATGTCATCGAATTGTTTCTTCCACCTAGACTTAACATTCTCCAGAGCATATCTAGAATCCAGCATTATCTACTTCCATGGCACCAGAAAGCTTTATAATCTTTCTCCGAAACTATGACAGCACTGCATTTTTCCTTTCATTATTGGATTGAATTACTCTTCTCGATGAGGGAATGCTTTACTTACTGTAACTGCATAATCAGCTGTATTCTTTATTGTAATTGCTGAACTTGTTCCCGCAGGTTCACAGAAAAATGCTGCTGCTGCTGTTCCACTAGCTCTGCTACCTCTTGTTTTTCGGGTTCTTCTTTCAATTTCTGCATGAGACCTCCGCATATTTCATGCACGTTCATGATTCTGTCCCATATGTTGTCCTTGAAGTACATGTCATTATTTGGAACTTGAACAATGTCGGCACTGAAACACTTATCCTTAGAGCCCTTTCGAGTTGACCATGCAATCATAGCCTGGAGCAGCCAACTGTGGCCTACAGGACATAACCAGCAGGAACACAGTTTCTTAAGGACATTGAGGGATTTAAACCCGTCAGTTTTGCAGACGAAATTACAATACTTCTGAGAGAAAGAAATCCAAAATCACTATGTAGAAAGGCCGAAACGACGTTAAACATCATTTCTAAGTGCGCGTGGCCAAAGGGCCTTAACGGGAATCCCGACAAGACAAAAATAGGACAGTATGAAGAGCCCACGTTACATAAAATTATAATCATATCAAAAAAATTAAATATTTGGGGGTCATTCTAAATGGGAAACGGATCGACAAAGCCCACTGAATATGAAATATTTTAGGACACTCGTTATTTTAGGGAAAAAGACATAGCTAAAGAATATATTGTTACGAATATAACTTTAGATTTAAGTTAATTCAGATGAATTCCGTTAATTTAAGAATTTGAATTGTAACGTAAATTTCTACTGTGCAGCTTATTCGAATAACTTCACAACAACAACTACTGTATAGATTTTTCTACATCCTTCCATTTCCTCTTTCATTGTCTATTTTGTTGTTGACGTACAATTCTTGTTAAACGTCATCATTGATGATCGCTTAATTCCTCTTTCTTTGTTACTCCCTCGCCTGTGGGCGAATCCAACGGTGGGGAAGTCTCTTCAGTAGCTGCCAGGGTTGACGATTTCAGAGACATGCTGGCTAAAATGTTTGAGGAAAATTCCAGAAAGTTAGTAGAAAACACGAGACGAATGTTCGAAGAGAATTCCAGAAAGTTAGATGAAAATTCGAGAATAATGAACGAGAAAATCGAGAATGGAAGGAGAGTGGAAACCGTGGAGGTCCAAATTACAGAGTTGGATAAGAAAGTGCAGTCGGTTGACGAGAAGATTCTGTCTGTGGATGAGAAATTTCTGGTCCACGACCACAGGGTTACGAATCTGGAGAAGAAAATGTCAGAACTGGAAATTAAGGGTGGTCCGGTGCGAGTTCCTGATAACACATTCAATGTTTTCAAGTTACAGTTCGAGACAGTGGCTTCTAGAAATTCGTGGAACGACAGCGACAAAGCGGTTGCACTACTTCTGGCATTGAAGGGCAGTGCTGCTGATGTTATGCAGAGTTATCCTGTCGCTTCTAGAAACAACTATGAAGATGTTATTGCTGCACTGGAACGTAAGTACGGTGGCGAACATAAACAAAACATCTACCTTATGGAATTAAGGGGAAGAGTACAGAGGGCAAACGAGACGTTACAAGACTTTGCAGCTGAGGTGGAACGTTTGGTGCTAATGACGTATCCAGGAGAGAATCACCCATTGGTGGACCGTATGGAAATCGAAACCTTTGTGAATGGCATACGTGATCCTGAGATTAAGTGTGCAACATATGCGTCACCAAAAGCGTCATTTGCCGAAACTGTGTCGTTTGCCCTTGCCCAAGAGATGGCAAGAATAATTGTTAAGCCCGAGACCCACAAGATTCGCCAACTGGAGACCGAATGTTGCGAACCCAAATCTCTAGTTAACTTGATCGAGGACGCCATGAGGCGGGTAATAGAAGAAACAAAGTTAGTAGGGATGACTAAGCCCAGGGTTAGATGCTACAACTGCGATAAAGCAGGTCATATTGCGCGCGAATGCAGAGCTAAGCGCAAACGATCCAGGTCATCGTCACCACCTCCAACGAAAGATGGTAGAAGAGTGGCTCAACAGTCCACCAATGAGTCACCGTTAAACAGAATCGAGCACAGAAAAAGCGGAAAACACGGTAATGCTGATGCCCTGTCTCGTCGGCCATGCAAGGTAGAATGCAGGCATTGCTCAAAGGCTGAGAATAAAGAGAATATCGTTGATGTCCGACTATTGCAGTTTGAGTCGGGTGAAGATTGGTCGACGGAACAACGAAGAGATCCCATTCTGGGCAAAGTAATTTCGGCCATAGAAACGGGCAAGCGACCTAGTCGCAAAGAAATTACCTCCGAAAGCCCTCTTTTAAAATCCTATTGTGCCCAGTGGGACAGTCTACTTATAATAGATGGTTGCTTATATCGCAAATGGAAAAGTGAGGAGGTAAATCCCACCGGAACTTCATCGTCGTCCCAGACTCCAAAATAAGAGATGTCTTGTCGGGGTTTCACGATGAGCCAAGTGGGGGACATCTTGGCATAGCAAAAACCGCTGAAAAGGTAAAGCAGAGATTCTACTTGGTCGGCTGTCAAAAATCCATTGCCGACTGGATCGCCAATTGTGAAAGGTGCATAAGAGCTAAAGGTCCAACACGGAAGAGTCGAGGCTACATGCAGTAGTATAACTCAGGAGCCCCTTTGGAAATATAGCAATGGATGTAGCTGGACCGTTCCCAATAAGCGACTCTGGGAACCGGTATGTCTTAGTGGTCATGGATTACTTCAGTAAATGGCCAGAGGTTTATGCTATCCCAAATCAAGAAGTCAGGACAATTGTGGATGTGTTCAGCAAAAATTGGATTTGTCGCTATGGTGTTCCATCTGAGGTTCATTCCGATCAAGGTAGGAATTTTGAATCAGCAATCTTCAAGGAAATGTGTGACTCCTACGGAATCAAGAAAACCAGAACGACGCCCCTACATCCACAATCAGATGGCATGGTGGAAAGATTCAATCGCACCCTGGAAGAACATCTACGGAAAGTGGTGGACAGTGGGCAACGAGACTGGGATGAGCATATTCCAAAGTTTTTACTGGCTTATAGATCGGCCATTCATGATTCCACATCCCGGACCCCAGCCAAAGTTCTGTTCGGAAATGAATTAAAGCTACCTGGCGATTTGATATTCGGTGCTACCCCAAACGACGATGTGAACCAAGATGAAGACAGTCAAAACTCTTTTAGTAAAATCCACGATGCAGTTCGCCATCGAGGGGCAAATACCGATGGGTTTCAAGAAGGGCAAGTGGTACTATTGTTCAATGCACAACGAAAAAAAGGACTATGCCCCAAATTGCAAACGCACTGGGAAGGACCCTACAAGATTGTCACGAAAATTAATGACGTCGTATATCGCATCCAGAGGAGCGACAGTCCCAGGTCGAAGATGAAAGTTGTACATTTGGAGCGGCTGACCCCCTACGGAACGGGAACTGTGCCTATTCGGGACGAACAGGCTTAAGCGGGGGGCAATGTTACGAATATAACTTTAGATTTAAGTTAATTCAGATGAATTCCGTTAATTTAAGAATTTGAATTGTAACGTAAATTTCTACTGCGCAGTTTATTCGAATAACTTCACAACAACAACTACTGTATAGATTTTTCTACATCCTTCCATTTCCTCTTTCATTGTCTATTTTGTTGTTGACGTACAATTCTTGTTAAACGTCATCATTGATGATCGCTTAATTCCTCTTTCTTTGTTACTCCCTCGCCTGTATATGTGTTGTTGTTATTGTTCACTCAATGTAAGTTTGTATGTGTTTGCTGCATTGGTAGATTGTTCGTAATCTAGGTGTTACCAGATCGTCTAGAAACTTCTGTAGCGACAGGCAAGGCTCATATAAATAGGGGAAATGGAAAGGCAGTGAGTCAGTTGTGAATCAGATCGCGAATTGAAACCGCCAAGTAAAGTAAAGTGCAAAGTATAGTTGTGTCAATAAAATCATTGTAATATTCGTAATCAGAAAGAACCCGCGTTTTATTTAGTACGAACTGTATTGGGAAATAAAACACCGTATACACGGGATTAAGTAAAATCAAAGAACGTAACAATATAAACAATGAAGTGCTTACTTTGTGTCAAATTTTACCAATGTATCTTCTGGAAATTTTGAAAAGTGTATTGTTAGACACCACGGTTGACTTCCCTCTTCTTGAAACAAATCGTATAGAATTCCTGAAAAAAATAATAAAAATTGTAATATTATTAAACGTCGAAATACACATTCCAATTGAAAAAGCCCTCGGTCACTGATAATTGCTACCCTCTATTTATCAATGAAAAATTTTAAATTTTTATTGTTTTGGGACCAATATTCAGAGCTGACAAATTAGCACGTTTAGTGCTAGGTTTTGCATTTTAAACACTTTTTATATCAAAAAAATTATAATAAAGCAACTAGCACACTTTTAAGAATTTTTATTTGCATTAGTTCCGTTCCAGAACCTAAAAGAATCTACTCATTTTACATGTTTTGCAACTTTTTACTCGAAAACCGTTCCTCAACCCACAATACTGGTAAAATATTGACTCAAATTTAAGAGAGCAGAAAACAAAATGGCGTTCTCTTTGTAAACAGGATGCCTACTTCTGATTGGCTGTTATGTTGATTTTGAATTATTAACTTGCCATCTTACTAGATTTCCGTTCCCGAACTTTTCAAATTATTTTGTACTCTGAGAGTGATTTTGAAATGTTTCCCTTTTACTAGATTTACTTTTCTAGATTTAGTACTTTTCGGATACTTGTCGTTCGAATGTCCAAAAAACCCTATGCTACATCTATTCTACACTCCATAGCTAGGAGTTCTATCTATATCGGTTCGCCAAATACAAATGCACCACATTTAGTACTTTTCGTATCGTTCTAGCACGACTTTCCAAAAACCCAGCTTTATCTGACACGTTTGGACCAAGAGTGACCCCCAGTGCATATGTAAAGATTTTATCTTCAGCCGTTTCGTCTGGGTGTTGATTAATCGTTAAGTCAGTCAATCACGTTCTCTTTTATTTGTACAGATTTGTTTAATTTCATCTTTATTTACTTTGTAATTGAAGCCAAATTACAATATAATGGCCAAATTATATGTAATTACAAAGAATCCACCTTAAATCATAGCTACTCTAAAACAAATTCTTATATATATAATATGTTAGATATTTTAAACATGTTTAAATCTGCATTACATCATGACTACTCAAATATCATAAACAGTATTTAAACAAGTTATTATAAATAAATTATGTAATTACAAATGTAATTACTTTTAAAACATTTTGAATGTAATTATGAATGTAATTTTAAAAACTTCGTGACATCATGGCTACTCAAATATAAATTATTAAATAAAAATTGATAAATACAATACATTGAATACTAGTAGAGCTATTACGTATCTTTAAAATGATAATCATTTTATGTAAATCAAGTAAGGCAAAATCATATAAAGGATTTAAAATATGTATAAAAAATCAGATCAAGTTTTCGTAATAATGTTGAAGAAGTTTTTTCCTGAATAAGTTATAGGAAAAACAGAAAAGCTTTAAATTACTTGGAAGTATATTAAATAAACGAGTTACTCTAACAGTAAACGATTCATTCATATGGGGGCCAATTCTTGGTATGATTAGTTGATTTAATCGAACCGAATGACTAAAAGTAAAGTAATTTGTTAGAAACAAAGGTGATTGTTGTTTAAACACTTTGTAAAATAACACCAATATTCTGTAATTGACAAAATCGTGAAATGAACAACCGAGAAAGCGATATACATAGGGGGAAATATGATCGTACCGTCTTCTGGAATATAGGTAGCGCATAACTCTGTTAAAACCTAGCTGCAGCATACAAATATATATATCATAAGTGCCCGAATTAGGGTTTGGGAATTCTCGAATTTTTTTAATTCCCGGGAAATCGGGCATTCAAAATTTTTATTCCCGGCTACCCGGGAATTCTCGGGACCTTTCACAACCTTTGTAAGTTAAAATATTAAAGGGTAAGTGTTTAATTTGAAATATAATTTTATTTGAATTAAAGTAAATTCTAATCCATCGTTATATCTTGTTCACTACCTTTATATACGTCTTTGAGTATTTCGTACTAAAGACAAAAAGTAGTAGCAAAATCTAACGAGTAACTATGTCAAAGCGCCGCTTTGTGATATCTTAGCTTTTAATTACACTCGTTCTTTGGTTCACGACCAAAAAGCATCAACCCCTACATGTAGCAAATCTAAATCTACGTTTGGAAAAAAATCTAAACAATTGTGTTATTTCTTTATTTTCATATTTTGCAACAACGCAAACATTGCTCCGTTCGAGTCGGATTCTACAATCAACCTTTACAAGGAAAACCTAAAACGACAACGTCGTCGCAAATATTGGTCCAATCGATTGTACAGATTTATTTAATTTCATCTTTATTTACTTTGTAATTGAAGCCAAATTACAATATAATGGCCAAATTATATGTAATTACAAAGAATCCACCTTAAATCATAGCTACTCTAAAACAAATTCTTATATATATAATATGTTAGATATTTTAAACATGTTTAAATCTGCATTACATCATGACTACTCAAATATCATAAACAGTATTTAAACAAGTTATTATAAATAAATTATGTAATTACAAATGTAATTACTTTTAAAACATTTTGAATGTAATTATGAATGTAATTTTAAAAACTTCGTGACATCATGGCTACTCAAATATAAATTATTAAATAAAAATTGATAAATACAATACATTGAATACTAGTAGTGCTATTACGTATCTTTAAAATGATAATCATTTTATGTAAATCAAGTAAGGCAAAATCATATAAAGGATTTAAAATATGTATAAAAAATCAGATCAAGTTTTCGTAATAATGTTGAAGAAGTTTTTTCCTGAATAAGTTATAGGAAAAACAGAAAAGCTTTAAATTACTTGGAAGTATATTAAATAAACGAGTTACTCTAACAGTAAACGATTCATTCATATGGGGGCCAATTCTTGGTATGATTAGTTGATTTAATCGAACCGAATGACTAAAAGTAAAGTAATTTGTTAGAAACAAAGGTGATTGTTGTTTAAACACTTTGTAAAATAACACCAATATTCTGTAATTGACAAAATCGTGAAATGAACAACCGAGAAAGCGATATACATAGGGGGAAATATGATCGTACCGTCTTCTGGAATATAGGTAGCGCATAACTCTGTTAAAACCTAGCTGCAGCATACAAATATATATATCATAAGTGCCCGAATTAGGGTTTGGGAATTCTCGAATTTTTTTAATTCCCGGGAAATCGGGCATTCAAAATTTTTATTCCCGGCTACCCGGGAATTCTCGGGACCTTTCACAACCTTTGTAAGTTAAAATATTAAAGGGTAAGTGTTTAATTTGAAATATAATTTTATTTGAATTAAAGTAAATTCTAATCCATCGTTATATCTTGTTCACTACCTTTATATACGTCTTTGAGTATTTCGTACTAAAGACAAAAAGTAGTAGCAAAATCTAACGAGTAACTATGTCAAAGCGCCGCTTTGTGATATCTTAGCTTTTAATTACACTCGTTCTTTGGTTCACGACCAAAAAGCATCAACCCCTACATGTAGCAAATCTAAATCTACGTTTGGAAAAAAATCTAAACAATTGTGTTATTTCTTTATTTTCATATTTTGCAACAACGCAAACATTGCTCCGTTCGAGTCGGATTCTACAATCAACCTTTACAAGGAAAACCTAAAACGACAACGTCGTCGCAAATATTGGTCCAATCGAGCCGGATTGTTTTTGACAAAAACTAACCGTCTCCTCCTTTCACGAAGGAAAATATCGACATCGTCGAGAACAACAACTACAAAGATCCACGATCACCACAATTCAATAATTGTATTTATTTTAAAACATAAAATTCGAACAACACAGGTATGTACACTGTCATGGTACAATTATAAAAGGTAACAGCAAATCCCAGCTGATTTGATTCCAACGTAATACTAGTGTCAATATGAATTTGACAAATTATGTTTTTAAAAATCACCCAACAGGAAAATTGGGAACGCATACAATTTGAAATTGTTCTTTATTAATGTGCTCCCGTATTCAATTTACTCAATCTGCCTGCTGGGAAAGTTTGAGGAAGCAAATCTTTCTTGAAGGAATTACTCGCTATTCCCAGCATTGTCATATGTGTTACACATATATATGACAATGGCTCAATTAAAGGAAAGATGTGGAAGCGATAGAAATATAAATTTGATAGATTTTCATTCATGTTTTTCAATTTTTATTTAGAGGATTCGAAAATATTCCATTTTCAAAATAAAAATAATTTGATGATAATTTGTTTGTTTTTTGTTTACATTTTTCTGTCAAATGAGTTGACACTAGTAGAACTTACAACAACAAATTTCCATGTGGTTGTTGTATCGTTTTTTTGTACAACAACACTTGCTGTTACCTTTTATTATTATATCCATGGTACACTGTTTAATTTATTTTTTCGAAATAAAAAAGTGTCATACGGTGAGATTTGTATTGAGATTTGTTCGTGACATCATGGCTACTCAAATATAAATTATTAAATAAAAATTGATAAATACAATACATTGAATACTAGTAGTGCTATTACGTATCTTTAAAATGATAATCATTTTATGTAAATCAAGTAAGGCAAAATCATATAAAGGATTTAAAATATGTATAAAAAATCAGATCAAGTTTTCGTAATAATGTTGAAGAAGTTTTTTCCTGAATAAGTTATAGGAAAAACAGAAAAGCTTTAAATTACTTGGAAGTATATTAAATAAACGAGTTACTCTAACAGTAAACGATTCATTCATATGGGGGCCAATTCTTGGTATGATTAGTTGATTTAATCGAACCGAATGACTAAAAGTAAAGTAATTTGTTAGAAACAAAGGTGATTGTTGTTTAAACACTTTGTAAAATAACACCAATATTCTGTAATTGACAAAATCGTGAAATGAACAACCGAGAAAGCGATATACATAGGGGGAAATATGATCGTACCGTCTTCTGGAATATAGGTAGCGCATAACTCTGTTAAAACCTAGCTGCAGCATACAAATATATATATCATAAGTGCCCGAATTAGGGTTTGGGAATTCTCGAATTTTTTTAATTCCCGGGAAATCGGGCATTCAAAATTTTT